TCAAGTTCTGTAAACACACTTGCTGGCCACTGTCAGGCTGGAGAACTGATGAGTATCGGCATGTATCCTGTGGTAGGTTAAAGTGGTAGCTGTGTCCTGTAAGGCCAAAATCTCTCTCTGTATTTGTTTTAATGTGGACTTCTTAAAGAAAAAACAATTTTATGTTATAGTTTTGCTTTTTGGAATTTTGTTTGGATTCTAAAATAATGATAATAATAAATGCCCATTGAAAATAATTTAGCAAAATATGGAAAAGTTGAAGGAAGAAAATAGAAGTCAGTCTTAATTCTAGCATTCTGATACACTTTCTATGTTAAAGCCTTTTTCTGGGTGACTGCTTTTAAAACTGTATAGAGAAGGCTTGTGTGTCTGTTTTTCAGGTCAGCTAGGAAGGACACTTTTATTTGGGTAACTAAATGTTTGAAGGATCCTGGTATTTCTCAAGATAAGACTTTGATGATAAATAATCTTTGACTTCTTAATATCTGTTGCATATTGACAATTCCTTGTTTCTGGAATAGGACATAGACATATGATGCTTTAAGACCTCCCACCCCTCCCCAATCTATTTAGCCTCTGAAAAACAGTACAATAGATGGATTTCAAGAATATTTTGGAGCTCTTTCTCAGAACAAGTATGGTTTCTTAGCAGGCATAGTTCAGTAAAACCTTGTATTACTGAATCAAGATTTATGAAAGGTCTTGGCATATGTATGGAGTAGGATGAATAGTTGTTAGACACCATATCATTTTAGGATGGACTATGTAAGATGGTGTGATGTTTCATAGGTTAATTTAATCTCTTTAAAAATATTTAAAGTTTAATGCTTCACACGACAATAATTTTTCCATCTTTCTGGATCTTTGCACTCCTAGGATTTTTGTATGTCTAGACACAGTTAAAAATACCACTGTATTTTTTAAACTATGCTTTTCTGCATATTTTTCAAACATTATCACTATGAAAGAAATGTCCTAGAAAATGGTATTGAAAGTTCTCTTGTGATTTACTACAATCTTTCAAATAATTCTCTATCTTCAAATCAAATATAGTAAACTTCTGGAATACCTTTAGATATCTCATAAAGGATATGTCGAAAGAAAAATGTGTTGCCTTAGTTACGGATATTGGATTTTTTAACATTGAAATGAAACTGCCCTGGAAAATGCTGCAGAGAAGCTTGTCTTTTATTAGTTGCAGGAAAGGTGGCATTTCTGGACAGAGACGTGGGTGAGTGATTCACGCAGTGTCAGACCTGGCTAGAGGGGGAGTGACTACCTGCTCAAATGAGATGACCTAAGAGGCTCATCAAGACCCCATTTGGCCCCCAAATCATTAACTATCATGGTTCCTCCGTCTTCCTTCTACTCCTGAAATTCTCTCTTTGTCCAGTGCATATAGGTTATCTGGCAAAGCAGGTGAACACATGAGATGTGATTCTAGATATGTAGACCTCCCATATTCCAGACTGGAAAACCAGTCTTGCTATTTTGTAGCAACACTGTTTGAGGTAGGAAAGATCCAGGGGGCCGAGCCCCTGCTGTTTGTTAATTGCTGCTTTGGGGAGGTGAGAGTTAGGGACTGAAGGAGCCTAGAGCCAGTCCTAGGTCCTTCTCAGGGTGGGAATTAGCCAAAGAAAGGGAGAAGAGAGGTGCCGTCACAGCCAGGGGCTCCTGTGTGGGCAAGGCTGGGCAATGTCTGGTCTGGCAAGGCAGCAGAGTCTCTGGTCAGCCGGGCAGGAAGGCATAAAGTACTATATTGCAGTAGGAAGGCCTAAAGCAGAAACTTCTTTTCTCTTTTTTCTTGGTGAAGCTCAGGCAAGTGGCACTGCTAGCTGCTAGCTGTTAACTTTCAGTTGGCAAGAGATATAGCAAAAATATCTCCAGTGCAGGAAATCTCAGGTACATGGATTTTACTTGCTTTCCTATTTCTAATTCTTCTTAAAAATTCCTTGAAATTTTAGAAAAGCCCATGTATATTCCTAATTTCTGTTTTAAAGCACTGAACTTTGGGCCACAGCATCCCTTAGTTAGAAGTCGATGGCATCTGCTAGAGGTAGGGTAAGGGAGTGTCCTGTGGAACTGAGTTGAATGATACACCTCCAGCAACAGAATGGGAGAGAGAAACAATAATTTCGCTAAATTACATCTATTTTTAAAATTAGCATCAATACTGCTTAAGAATTTATGGGAATTTCTTTTTTGGCACTTAAGGGTCTCTCTTTTTCTGTGCCTATTTAAATGATATATTACTAAATTATTTTGAAGATGGTTGCCTGACAAATTGTAGCAGCTGCACTGCTACCATCTAGTGGACAATTAATGCAATTAATCATTCTTTGGCTTGACAGCTTCCAAACAAATCATTGTGACGTTAATGGATTCTGTTTTTGAATGGAACACTGTTATAGATAATTCAACATATTATGCTAGATATGGAATCTTCTCTTCCTTGAATCTACATGGAAAACAATGAGGTAATGTTTTGTTTTATGATTTTAAAGTAAGCAATGCCCCCAAATTATAATCTAAATACATATTATTATATTTTAAAATTTGAACTTTGCACAGTACTCTCCAACATTACTAGCACGTTCAGTTTTAATTCTGGAAAACTTCAAGTCATGTTTGACATACAAGTCCCTGGTACCTTCTTGTTTCACTTCCAGTCTGCTTTCCACACCGTAGCCTGGCTGGTGTTTAAAAAAACAAAAAACAAACTCTTATCATGTCATTTACAATTTAACATCTCCAGTGGCTTCTCATTGCTCTTTTTTTATTGAATGAAAGTTTCTTTAAATTCTATAGTACTTTACAGTTTTCAAAAGTTTCACACACTTGATTTCATATAATCACATAATAACCCCTTTTTCCCCCATCCCTATATTGCCCCTTCCACATTCCCTCTCCCCACTAGTAACCACTAGTTTGTTCTCTATATCTGTGAATCTGCCTACTTTTTTTTTATTCACTAGTTTGTTGTATTTTTTAGATTCCATATATAGTGATATTGTACAGTATTTGTCTTTCTCTGTCTGACTTATTTCACTCAGCGTAATGCCCTCCAAGTCCATCCATGTTGCTGCAAATGGCAAAATTTCATTCTTTTTTATGAATGAGTAGTATTCCATTGTATCTGTGTACCACATCTTCTTCATCCATTCATCTGTTGATGGACACATGTTGCTTCCATATATTGGCAATTGTAAATAATGCTGCTGTGAACATTGGGGTGCATGTATCATTTCAAATTAGTGTTTAGGGCTTCCCTGGTGGCGCAGTGGTTGAGAATCCTCCTGCCGATGCAGGGGACAGGGGTTCGTGCCCCGGTCCGGGAAGCTCTCACATGCTGCGGAGTGGCTGGGCCCGTGAGCCATGGCCGCTGAGCCTGCACGTCCAGAGCCTGTGCTCCGCAATGGGAGAGGCCACAACAGTGAGAGGCCCGCGTACCACAAAAAAAAAAAAAAAAAAAAAAAATTAGTGTTTATATTTTTTGGGATGTATACCCAGGAGTGGAATTGCTGGGTCATATGGTAGTTCCACTTTTAGTTTTTTGAGAAACTTCCATACTGTTTTCCACAGTGGCTGCACCAATTTACATTCCCACCAACAGTGTAGGAGGGTTCCCTTTTCTCCACACCCTCACAACACTTGTTATTTGTGTTCTTTTTGATGATAGCCATTCTGACAGGTGTGAGGTGATATCTCGTTGTTATTTTGATTTGCATTTCCCTGATGATTAGTGATGTAGAGCATCTTTTCATGTGCCTGTTGGCCATCTGCATTTTCCCTTTGGGAAAATGTCTATTCAGTTCTTCTGCCCATTTTTTAATCCGGTTGTTTATTTTTTTGATGTTGAGTTGTATGAGCTGTTTATATAAGTCGGGTATTAACCCCTCATCAGTCAAATCATTTGCAAATATCTTCTCCCATTCAGTAGGTTGCCTTTTTGTTTTGTCAATGGTTTTCTTTGCTGTGCAAAAGCTTTTAAGTTTAATTAGGTCCCATTTGTTTATTTTTGCTTTGGTTTCCTTTACTTATTAATGTATGACAAAAGAGGCAAGAATATACAATGGAGAAAAGACAGCCTCTTCAGTAAGTGGTGCTGGGAAAACTGGACAGCCACTTGTAAAAGAATGAAATTAGAACATTCTCTAATACCATACACAAAAATAAACTCGAAATGGCTTAAAGACCTAAATGTAAGACCGGATACTATAAAACTCCTAGAGGAAACCATAGGCAGGACACTCTGTGACACAAATCACAGCAGTACTTTTTTGGATCCGTCTCCTAAGGCTTCTCATTGTTCTTAGATCAGTTGTTCCAAATCCTTAACATGACCTCTAACCCTGCCTGATATGATCCCCAACTCCCTCCTCAGCCCTTTCACATGCCCGTGTTCCCTCAGTTCTCTGAGTTCCACCCTCTCTTGCTTTCTTCTTACAGCTTCTGCATAGTTACAGGGCCTGGAAGGGGTGCTCCCTTCTTCGAGCTAACTGTGAATCATTCTTCAGGCTTTAGCACTTCCTGAGAGAGCTTCCTCCTCCACGTCAGATAGGTAATATAAATTAAATCACTAATTGCTACATAATTAAATAATTATTTGTTTCATGTCCATCTTCTCAAGTGGCTTATACAACCGTTGAGGGCAGAAATGTTTTCTTTCTTTTTCATTGCTCTGTCCTCAGTTGCTTAGCAAAGTGCTTGGCATGTGGTAAACAGCTCAGAAAATAACTTGAGTGAGCCGAGATGAAAGCTAAACCATGATTGGATCGTTTCACCTATACCACATTTTACAGTCCTGGATTTCCCCTTACATGTCTTCTTCCTCATCAGCACCTCACTATAACCTGTGCACGTCTGCAGTCTGCCAGGGTTGGCAACACTCCAAGGACTTTAACTCCCGTATGGCTGACCTACATCATTGGTTGTGCATGGCTTGCCTTAGTCATCCGTTCACATCTTTTTTCCCCCAAAGAAGTAGACAGTCTGTCAGGTTTTTCAATTGTAATGGTTCATTTTTATTATGATCAATATTAAAGACCCAGGTAGTTTAATAGACCCAGAATCTTAAAAGAAAGAGGAGGATCTGGAAAACATCTAGGCAAACAAAAGTCAGAATTCAGGATAGAAAAGAAACAAAGAGTGCGCATTTAGAGATAAGGCTGTTAGTGCTCTGGGCTAGTACAGATGTTCCAGGACATAGCCGGTAATGTATTTGATCGCCAGCATTGTCTCCTCACAGGTTGGCCGGATCTGGGATTCAGGGAGGGCAAAGCCATATCTGCCTTTATCCCGGAGTTCAAAGGTGAAGGAATATTTGATTCCTTCGTCATAAGCCCAGTCATCAGAGCCCCCAGCAGCAGGATCTGAAATGAGCAAACAGAAGAAAGAAAAATTTTAAATCTAGGAAGGAGATTTAAAAACCCCACCAGCTTTCTTTTATAATTACAAATGTTTTACTGCACAAAACAGTATAGGTAGGCGAATTTTCTAGTAAACTGGATCACAAAAGCTATGGGGGCTGTTTTAAAAATTTGTCCAGTCTTACCTCTAAGTCTACTTAGTGGGAGTGATGTGTTTAATACCCCAGGAAGTATGTAATTTGTAATATATAAACTTCTCAGAGTGCTTGTATGCTGAGGTAAACTGTGCTATGTAGTGTGTAATCTGTTTACAAAATATATACAGTTTCTGGGAAAAGAATGTGTATCTCCTAGAAAAATAAGGAAAACTGCATGATGACTGGTAAGAGGAGAGGATTCCAAACCCTGCTGAAACTGTGCTGAGTGATGAAACTGGAGCAGCTTGAGGGCAGGGCTGTGCCTTCATTTTTGTTTCTTCAGGGTCTAGCATATGGCCTGGCACAGATTAGGCATTCCTTCAGTTATTCATTTGGTGACAGTTATGATGTCATTCATTTATTCAGTCACTCATTTGTTCATTCATTCATTCAGTCAACAGTTGTACAGCTCTCACTTAGTAGTAGGCCATGTGCTCAATCAACTCCGGAGATGCTAGGACAAAGGAAAGACATGGCCCCTGCCCTCCAGGGGCTTACACTGTAATGGAAAGAGAAACCTCATTGAACTTGCCTGAAGAAAACCTACAAGACGTTCACCATATGTGAATAGGTGCAATGTCACTGGGTTATTTCTGATAGAACCCCCTTAAGAAAATAGTATACCCCATCTGATACAGAGAAGTTTAATAAAGAACAAGAATACAGGAAACTGTATTCTACATGAAGCTTTTAGAAACCCCTCAGGTTTGGAACCTCTCCAACTGCATTGAAGCCCCCTTGATGATGGGACTGGCCTTTTTTCCTTGTATTTCTGGTCCTTTAAGACCTGGGGCAGAAAGAAATCATGCAAAGGCAAATATATGTAGAAATTGAAAATGGGGCCTGCAGAATGCGCCTTCCCAGCGGAATCCGAACTGCAGCCCCAAGGCTCTGGGGTCTAGCCGCTATCTAACTCTTTTGCCACTTGCTTGCATCCCTTGCAAATAGCTTGAGCCTGAAGTAGCCTTTCGAAACTGCCATCTGTTAGCCAGGAAAACCTTCCCTCTACTGCTTTCCTCCAGCAATTGTCCTTCCAGATAAAGCTTCTGTGTCATCATCCTGGGAATTTATTCCTGATACTGTGGAGTGGGGTGGTTAGTCTTTGGGCGTGCTCTTTTCTTAGACATCCTTCTGTCGCAGCACTTAGCTCCTGTATGACAATTAATGTTTACTCTTCCCGCTTCCCTGCTGTGGGTTCTTTGAAGATTGCTCCAGCCCTCCTCCTTCCTTCCCCCTTCCCTCTTGCCTTCTCTCCATCCTTCTTTCCTTTCTCTCCTAGCATCTGTTGAGGGCCTGGCAAGTGGTAGACGCTCAATAGATGTTTACGGAGAGCAAACGTTTCCGTGGGCTGAAAGGGATATTTCTCCCCCTTTTTTCTGAACAGGAAACTGATTACATATTTTTTTAAAAAATTCACTGTCAGGCAAAAGTCACATGCTTTAAATGATAGAAAGGAAAGACGCTGGGAACCGTTTGTTGCCTTTGAAGCACGTGGGTTCTTTGCACAGTTCTGACGCCAAGACTTACAGATTGTTGAAGCTCCTGGGCCATATTTGTACTTGGTGCTGTACAGTGTGGCAAGTTCTTTAATGGCAGCTTTAGCCATGCTGTTCTGCAAAAGAGCCAGCAGTAAGTGAGTGAAGAAATAAAAGCACACACCGACAAAAACCAAACATTTGTACATTATTTTTAAGACGTTGAAGACATGTAAGTCACAGTTCGGGTTAGTGTTTTAAACTTATTCAGTGCGCATCCCCATTTTCCAGCGAACTTTGTCATATGATCCAAGTGATTCTTGTGGAAGGATGTCTTCCCTAATGCCCTCCTCAAGCACTCACTCTGAGCTTCTCTTTGTCACACACAGAGTTGTGTCATATTGTGTCAATACCATTAGCTGCCCTCTGAGTTCTCAGTGACTTTTTCTGTCCTTTATCTCCGTGTCCCCAGGGCCTAGCCCAGGGTTTGTTACTTAGTGGTTACTCAGTAACTGTTTGTTGAAGCTCTGAGATGGTTAGCACTCTTCTTACCCTATTATTTGAGAATTAGGTCCTTACATTTATTTTAAATGATCGTTGCAGTAAAATCTGGGTCCTAGCTGTAAACTCTGTTGTATCCAGAGTTTATTCTTTTACTTTGTTTTCTTTTTTATTTACATAGAATTTAGTTGCTCTTTTTTTTTTCCTGGAATTCTTATTTAGGCTTGTTAAACATTTTTTTTAAAACCTTAGTTCAGGCTGGAGAAATGAGGCTATAGTGATTTGTAACTGTCCCAGATACCACATTTATTGACATAGTAAAATGTCACTGTGTGTGAAGAATTAGGTTATATCTAAGGATTAGTCTGGCAAATCTATCTTGTCTCTGGAGCTTGTGAGAGAAAAGCAGGAGGCAAGGAGGTCTTTGTGGTTGTGCAAAGAGATTGTCTACCTATTAGAGGCAAACAAAAATCAAAAACGTACAAAATAATTCCAAACAAAACAATGCAAAAACCACCTGGAAATAGGGCAGGTTATAAAGTGAAGATTAAGTCATGACAGGATTATGTGAGTTGGGGTTGGAGTGTTAAAAACCACTCAAAAGAATGATTGGATAGTCGGTGCAACCTTCAGTGATAGTGTAAAAATGTTTAAGAATGGACAATTCCAAGGAGGAGTGGTAGTTCCAGCGTGGAAGATTTTTTAGACCGAAAAATGAGAGAATATTTATTTTATTTCAAAAGGCAGAACATTGGAATTCCAGAATTAAAAAAAGTAGCAAGTATTAACTTACTTTTTTTTTTTTTATTATTAGAAGCAGCATCACCTTTTCATCAGACCCACTGCCCTCCCGCCCCTACACCCAGCCCCTCAGGGAGAAGGGCTGTGCACTCAGCTCCTCCCTGCACAGTAAACTCTCCAGTGTCCACTGACAAATTGTCTATTTAACTGAATCACTTTGAAAGCAAGCTTTACTTTTCTGTCTGGAGAACACAGATTTGTGAATCTGATTGTTACTACAGGAGAATTAGCCATAACTCATTCTGGCTATGAAACTAGCTATATTTCTTACTTTGGCATCATAATTGTCTTGTACATATGCCTGGAAAACTGTTGAAGTTGGTGATGACATCAGAATAATTCTGTTTCTACAAAGTAGCAGCTTCCCTTAATCCTTGTTCTAATATTAAAACCAGTTCAGTCAAGTCTTAAGTCAAATTGATGAGGGCATGGCTGTAAGACTTTAAGAATTTCAGCTCCCAAAGCATCAATGCTTCATCGAAACAAGTGGTAAATTTGGAAATTTAAAAGGAATTATAAAACTTAAATCATGACTTTCTGGTCTGAAATGATGCAATCAGTTTCTTGGAACTAACTTATTATTCTTAGAGTTTTGGGACAGTAATTTGAACATTTTAGGGTTTCATTTCCCTTTTTCCCAAACTGGTAAACTAATATGTGCTTTGTCATACTGTATGGAATCTTTACTGTTGTGATCTAAAGGTATTGTTTCTGTTGTTTAATCTTATTCTAACCAACATACTAGAGTTAGGTCTTCTCTCCATCCTTTAGTATAAGGCCTGTTGCCAGTTGAAATCAGAAATAATGTGTAAACATTGCACAATGCTCAGAATACATTTAAAACCATCTTTTAGAGATGTGGAACATGGTGAGGTACTTGTTCTTTTGGTAGGCAAACAACATGTTTCCTACTGTTCTACAATTTCTTTAACTTGCGATTCATCCAAGGAAATTTCTAGTTACTTATTTTTCTGTAAGGCAGAACCTCTAATCCTAAAGAACTCTTATTCCTTCCCTAGCTACCTTCCTCAGGCTTTTCTTCTGTTCTGCTTTTTTCCCCCCTTAAACCTTGAATTCTTACTTTTAGTTAGTAGAAATAAGATTCTAATAAATTCCAGGCATGTAATGTACAGCAGGGGTCCCCAACCCCTGGGCCGTGGACCAGTACTAGTCCGTGGCCTGTTAGGAGCCGGGCCGCACAGCAGGAGGCGAGTGGTGGGTGAGTAAGCGAAGCTCCGTCGGCCGCCCCCCCATTGCTCGTATTACTGCCTGAACCATCCCCCTGCCCCACCCCCAGTCCATGGAAAAATTGTCTTCCATGAAACCGGTCCCTGGTGCCAAAAAGGTTGGGGACCGCTGCTGTATAGCACTGTGACTGTAGTTAACAATACTGCGTCGTATACTTAAAGATGCCAATGAGAATAGAGCTTTAATGTTCTCACCGTAACAACAAAATGACAATTATGTGAGGTAGAGGGTGTGTAAACTAATGTGGTAAACATTTTACAGTATATACGTGTATCAAATCATCACATTGTTATATGTCAATTACATACCAGTAAAGCTGTAAAAAAAGGAAATTCTTCAGGATTAGTTCTAAATGTGAGAATTTATGATGACTATAGACAATTTAAGACAAGATCATTGTCTTTATCTCTTGACCTCCTGTGTGTCAGATGGCTTTCAAGTCCCTCAATCTTTTTATTGGTGTAACATAAGAATTGAGTTATCTGGCAAAATTGAAGGGGCTTACTTGTGATCTGTTATTGCTTCTGATTTATCAACTTATCCATTTAGTCATAACTACCCTTAGGGCCACACAAAAATGTTTAGTTTGCCTTTCCTTAGAGCGATAACCAAGTGCTTTCTAAGCCTTCAGAGGCATCTTTTGGAAACAGTTGCTCTGCCTGTGATGCTGAGGCAATATCTAAGATTGATGTTAACTTAAAATGGCTGTTATTTTGTCCCTGTCACGGGTACCCACTGAAGGAACATCTAGTCTGTGTCTCAGCCTTGGTTCTCCTTGTCCTAAGTTGCTCTCTCATCTTGATGTCTACCTCATCACTTGTCCTCTGACCATCACCTCATCATCACATCCTTCAATGACTCGCTCACCTTCTGTTGGAAGTCTGGCCTCCTTTCTTGACATAAAGAGCCTTTGTGAGCTTGTCCCCCTCTTCCCTCTCAGGCTGCATCACTTGCCGTGCATCCCCATGTTCCTTCCGAGCCAGGTTTCCCTGAACTACTTTCCGTACCCTTCCCCGCCTCTCCTTACCTCCATGACGTTGGGTGTCCTTCTCCCTTTGTAGGAAATCTCATTCCCTCTTTGTTCACAAGGAGGCTTGCTATTGTTCTTCCAAATTCAGTCTAAATGTCATCTTCTTTGCAAAGCTGCCCCCAACTCTCTTAGGGAGCAATGAGCACCCCTTCTTGGTGAGGGCTCACATGTCTCTATCAGAGTTCCTATCACTCTGTGCTGTAATCATTTGTTTTTGCATCTGTTTGTCCCCTAGGTGAGCTTTTTGTGGGGGGAGGATTCTTGGCTATTCATCTTGTATCCTCAGCGGATTGCATTAACACCTAGCACATTGTTGGTTGGTTGATTTAGTCTCTTCCTAGGGCTTCAGGTGAGCTTGATTTGGATGGGGGTGCAGAGTGCTGAGCTCTACAAAGGCTGGACTGTGACCCCCCTGAGTGGAGATTGAGGATGCTTGTGGGGAGAGTGGTGGTACCATGCAGTGATGGTTGATGGGTTACCACATTTAGACATTGACCTCTGCTGGGCACTTAACTTATTTCCTTTGATTAAAAAAAAAGTGAAGTCTGTAGACCCTTTCTCTCAGCCCCTCTGAGGCCAAGGGACAAAAAAGTCAGAGCAGACGTTAATCAACCAAAATATCATATTTTAAGTTCCAAGTATTGTAACAAAAATCCCTGGAATCAGTGTGGGTCTTTTTTTTTAAGAGTTCAAATACTTTTACAAATGTTGCTCATTTATCTTCCTAACATTATCTGTCCACATTTCATCAACACAGAATTTTCTAGCAGAATGGAATGCCATGGGGGCAGCACGCTTGGTGGGAATGTTCCAACCAAGCTGGGTGACTGACCCCTGCCAGAAATGGTAGAGAGAGGGGTGATTCCTGAATTTGCTAAAATATTAGAGAGGTAACTCCTTTTCCTTGTATGTTTCTGTAAAAAGGGACTAAGACAGCTGACAAAAGACTGGCAGAAACAATAGTACATCAGAGAGCATGATCCATGTCTTGAAACTCTAATTAATGACATTTTCTATGTAACCTGTCATTTGAGGGAGATCTTACATCCTTGCTCAGTGGGTTCAAAATAAGAACTAACATTTACATAAAACCTTAGACTTTGACAAAGAGCTCTTGATAAGAGCTAGATATTTTTATCCCCATTTTACAGATAAAAGAACTGAAACTCGGAGAGGATAAAAGAACTTGCCCAAGGGCATGCAGCCCCATAAGTGGCTGACTTGAGCTAGGTTCTTCTTGCTTTAAATCCTGTGCTCTTTTTCACTTCTCCTTGTGGCCTTGGAATACTTCAAAAGAAGTGTTGCTAGAGCTGGTTTTACCAGTTGTAAAGAACAGAAGGAAGCTAAATATAAATCAGCCTCAGAGAAAACTTTGCTTTCAGTCAAGGCCAAACATGGCCAGCCTTTATTAATCCTTAGATATGAGTTTCCTACCACGTCTTATGCATGTTCTCTTTTGTCACCTGTTTTCTTAAAAAGAGGCCTTGGTCATAGAGCAAAAGACAGAGAGAGTCTAAAATGTCACATCTAACTCAAAGCCCAAGAGACAAAGGACCA